AGGCTGAGGCAGGAGGATCACTTCAGGTTTGAGGCCAGCCTGGATCACTTCAAGTTTGAAGCCAGCCTGGGCTACAAAGTGAACTCAAAGCCAGTCTGAACGGCATAGTGAGACCCTGTCTCAAAAAAAAAAAAGGAGGGGGAGGAGAATAAGCAATATTCACCTTCAGGAATATGGAAGTAACCCCTAAAAAAAAAATGACTGATGTTGGTAAATATTTTATTCATATAAATGTCTATTTCTTGTTCTTTGAGACAAGGCCCCTACAGGGCCTCACTCTATAGGCCTTGAACTCCCAGGGCTCCTCCTGCCTCAGCCTCTTGAGTGCTGGGATGATGTCAGGCGCCACCATGCCCACTCTATCCATATAAACAGAAACAGTAAATGTACTAAAGGAGCATGGGCCCAGGAACACAAATACATCTTGTCATAGATGAAATTATATTTCAACATGGTTATTCTTTAAAAGACTATTTGCAAAAGCAGAAAGCTGGGAGGAAAAAACAAGGAATTCATCAGTTGGGAACCGAATAGAAGACGGACACGTTCCGCCGACAGACTACCCCTGGCTGTAACGAAGAACGAGCGAGCCGGGTGAGGCGCTCACCCCTGTGATCCCAGCCCTCTTGCAGGAAGATCAAAGCTTCCCGTCCAGCCTAAGAAATCTGGCAGCTTAGGAAATCTGGCAGGGTGATTTGACTCAGGGTGGTTCGGTTCGGTTGGGGTGCCACGTGTCAGACTCAGGACCTTGCATTTGCCGGGCAGGCACTGTGCTGCTGAGCTCTATCCCCGGCCCAAGATATCCAAAATACATTGTTAAATCAAAAAGCATAATGGGGTGGGGGGAGACGTAGTGTGTAGTACTGAGAAAAGGAGAAAAAAAATATTTCCTTGTGTATGTTTATAAAACATTGGGAAAATATATGTAGAAAACTATCTGTCTAGCGGGGACAAGAAAGTAGAAGACAGGACAGAGGGAAAAATAAAACTTCTCCACGGGCAAGATCTGGTATTATTTAATTTAATTTATTTATTTATTTGAAACAGGGTTTCGCTGTGAAGTCCAGGCTGGCCACAAACTCACAGTGATCCTGCCTCAGCCTGGTTCTTGGGTTATTTTAGCTTTTTAAATTGTCTGAATGTATCTTCAAGCATATTTCTAAAAACTGTAGGAACGATAGTTACCAGAGTTGACGCGATAAGCCTGAACATTGTTACAAAACAAAGCAAAAGAGCACAGTGATGTGACCATTTGAACTTTCGAGCGGGCAGAGCTGGAAGAGAATCTGTGAGCGCCGAGTGCCGTGCGCGGTCAGCAGATAACATTTAAATTGGAAATGCTGGAAAACACGAGCCGGCTCACTGCAGCCCCTCGCCGTGCAATTCGCAGCTACTTGATGTGCATCTCATAATCTTTTTATGAAACAATACTTCCGGGGACAAATCAACGCTTTCCTTCTGTTAAATTCAAGGAAAATCAAAATCAACAGCTTTAGT